TATTCTTTGTAAACATTACTCCAGTGTACTTTTGGATAGCAAAATGACATGAATATTAAAACATTTAGGGAAACAATCTAGTTATGTCTAATGAAATGCTTTGCTGTGGTAACTAACTTGTGTTTTCAAAATTCTCACCAGTGGTAAAAATGATGGTTGAATTTTTAGTTTTCAGATTTTCATCTGAATAAGCAAATGTAATTTTGTGTAATATTCCAAATACAACATACATTGTGTGCTTCTTTAGACAACTATAATTTCACAATCTCTGCTATAATAAGTGAACCTGCAATTGTCTAGCATTGAGATGCTTCAATGAATACAGCAGCTGATAGAAACTAGAAAATGCCTACATTTTTCTTTGGCCACGTATCTCCCATAAGTCTACCTTCTCGAGCTACAACAAACTGTAATGAACATTTGTATTTTATCTGGATATGAACTAACTCAGTATCCACAGCAATTTTTAAAACTAAAACAAATGGTTTAAAATGATCCATAGTTAACAAAACTTGTAACACAAATCTAACAGATACCAAGTTCTAAGACAGGAAAAATTGAACAAACTGAAACTACATTGATTTTTTTCTATTAAATTCTACAAGAAGTTTTCTTATAGCCCTTTAATGTATGTTTCTTATCTAAGCCAGTATGTTTTCATAAATATGAAGGCTATTCATCTAGCTTTAACACTCAGGGTTCATAGTTTTTTCTATACAAATCTTCATAAGTAGAAACTTTTGTTCAAACTCCTTTGAACCATCTTCAGTGGAAAATTTTATTAGAAGATATGTAAAAAGGTCATAGCAACTGCACTGATGTTCTTGATTTGAAAGCAACAAAAATACTATCCAAACTAATCTATGAATTCAATGCAACCATCAAAATATCAATGACATTCTGCACAGAAATTTTTAAAAATAAAACTCAAATTTTATTTGTATCCAGAATAGTCAAAACAATCCAAAGCAAAAAAAAAAAAAAAAGGATGAAAGCATTTCACACTACCTGTATTAGAAATGTGTGGCATAGCTTTAATACCCAAACCACATAGTACTTGCACAAAAACAGACACATACACTAATGGAACAGAATAGGAAATTAAGGGAAAAAAATCCACCTATTTATTGCCAACTGATTTTCAATAAAAACACAAGGAACGTACTTTGGAAAAGGAAAGTCTCTTTAATGTATGGTGCTAGGAGAACATCAATTAATAATGGATCAAAGACTTAAATTTCAGAGCCAAAGCAATCAAACTACTAGAAGAAAACATAAGAAGAATACCTCAGGACATTAATCTGGGTTCAAATTATTTTAATGTTACCTCTAAAATGCCAGCAAATATTGACAAATAGGATTATTTCAAACTGAGAATCTTTTCCACAGCAAAGGAAACAGCCAACACAATGAAGAAACAACCTACAGAATGGAAGGAAATATTTGCAATCTGTTCATTTGGCAAGGGGTTAATATCCAGAATATATAAGGAATTCACAACACAGCAAAAATAATAATAATCTAATATTTAATTGGCAAATAATCCAAAAAAAGTCTCAAAAGAATGTATACAAATGGCCAAGAATATAAAAATGTTCAACATTACTAATTTCTCACTCTTCCTCAAGGAATTCTATTGAATGACTAAAGTTTTAAAAAATCAAGTCAAGCATTCCTTCTTTTAGGATGTTTTCACTCTGATCTGCTGCAATAAATTAATAATACTCATAAGAATATAGCCACATTTTGAGTACTGCACAAATCCCACAAATGCAGAAATTAAATAGGCATGTCTATTGTTTTGAAAAATATTTGCAATTTTTGTCATGCTGTATAGATCAATGACAAAAATCTGATCAAAGCTTCCTTTGGCACGAGCAAAATATTTTGTAAATATATTACTTGTTTATTTCCTCTTCACAGGTTATGGAGATTTAGACATTCAAATCAATGCCACTGGCAATTCTTTTATTGAGGCAAATGTTTTCTCCCAGTCTACAAAATGTATTCGTGTCACACTTCAAAGCAGGTGGGACTTTTCTGCACATAAAACATAAATTTGCAATACAAACCATATTCCCTGTGATCCTCAAACTTTTACATATCTCCCTAATAACAATCTGCATTGAGTTCTTTCACTGGTTGCATTTTGCACTCTATTTGTCACTGACTCACTTTGTAATTTTTTAAATCAACAATGAGAACAGCGGAAATTGTCATCAATAATAAGAACAATCCTAGGTAACTGTAAAAGTTAACTATACTACATGATAGTCTGCAGCAGAGCCAAAGGACAGATCTACAGTGCAGAAATAAATTCAAGGTCACTAAGTACAAAATGCAAGGCAGATCACAGTGCGAGTGTGCAGATATATAGAACCAAGCTCCCATCCTTTCCTCTCACCAAAATCAGGGGCCATTGGAGGCTGCCACAGTCAGACTTCCAATAACCGCTCTCGTGTTGGTGGTGGGAATATAGTAGGGACAATATTTTTGAAAATGGCCATCATCAAGAACCCTAGAAATGTTCAAAAACTTCCAGCCCTGCTGAATCTCTAAAGAATCTATCCAATTCTGAAACAAGTCTATCTTAAGGAAACACTTCTAAATAAGGAAAACAGTAGGCACAAGACATTGTTTAGGGATTGTTCACAACAAACAAATGGAAAGAATATTACAATAAGAGCAGGCTCATTAGATAAATTACTCTTCCCAAATGACCATAGGGAAGGAGGTGGGGGGTGCTGAGTGACAACACAGTGTGAACAAACTGTGTCAAACACACTAAATAAGCTCAAACTATGCCTGGGCATAAAATGAAATGTTTATGCATTCCACCCCAAACTGGTGGAAAAACATTTCTACTTCTCTATATTATTTGTCTATAAAGGATATGCATTACTTTTGCAATAAAAATATGATAAAATTTATCTTTAAGCAAGAAAACCCTCTGTAAAAAGTTAAATGAGGACAAAGCCCAAAGAAGGAAGTAGATCAACGAAGTGATTATTTTCTCTCTCCCATTAGCTAAATATAGCACTGAAATGTTGACCCAGCTGCTGGGCTTTCCTATGTCTAATGAGGGGCTTGCCGTAGCTCTCAGTAAGGATCTCTATGATTCAGGGCAGGCCAGCATTTAAAATTGTTGGCACAATGCACTGCACACATTCTCCGGTTTATCAGCAAATCCACAGCGGCATGCACTTTCTCTTTTTCTCCCACCTATGAATATGAAGTTTTTTGCTATGTCTTTATTGTCGGTGATGAGGGCTAGGGCCCATCCTTGTACCCTCTTCCTGGAGGGCAGTGAGCTCAGCTTCACAGCACTGGGAAGGCAGTGGCTCAAAAGTGCAGAAACAATTTCTTTGAATAATAAGTCAGGGTATGTGGATATTAAAAGATGGGAAAAAAATAAATGTTAATCTCCTTCTAATGAAAGAAGGTCAGCTTAGCCACAATTTTAATGTCAAAGTCAGTGACTATTTTTCTTTTATTTTTTTGTGGTACTAAGTATTGAACCCAAGGCCTTTGCACTGAGCTACATCCCCAGTACATTTTTATATTTTATTTTGAAACAAGATCTTGCCCAGGCTGTGGTCAAACTTCAGAGCCTTCTGAGCATTTTGAGAGACTGAAAATTCTAAGCATTCAACCAATGAGGGGATTCACTTGGAAATTGTGTCTCTTTGTTTGTTTGTTAACAGAAAACTTAACTTTGACAGAGCGAAGCCATAGCCCTCTTTATCTTTCTACCCAAACTCCATCTTTTCCTCATTCCTCCTAAAAACTCCTCTGGGGCCAAGTTACTCTACCATCAGTGTAGAATTAGTTGCCTTTGGTTGGAGTCATTTTGTCTGTTCAAAAACACTAAATTTAAAACCAAAACAGAGATATCTAGTTGACTCTGTTTGCTTTTTTGCCACTGACCCAAAAAGCCTTTATCAACATTATTAAAAAGCATTATTCCATAAACTAGTTACATAAATGCCAGAAGTTACAGTGCTTACTTGTAATTTGGTTTAGACCCTTCTGAGCAAGGAGGCATTTGATGCAAAGGGGAAACTAACAGACAGTCTCTATAAAGGAATGTTTTATATCTCTTTATATAGTGTCTGATGATACAAATGCTCAAAATATATTGGATGAGTCTCTAAAAGGTGTCTTGTAGTATTCTAAAATCATTGCATAGGAAAAGACTGTATCTTAAAATACCTTTGTCTCTCCTGTATAGTCATGGCATCATAATATGTATCTAATCAATTTTTTAGGTAAATAAAAAATAAACTTTCAAACAAGCATTTCTAAAATTTGTTAAGCAAATTTTTTGCCAAGCACCCATGAATGTCCTTGTCTCTTAGCCTCTACATTCCTGAAATATACAGTTGTCTCTCAGACTGGTACCAGTTTTTGTCTTTCCTTTAAATTTCTTCAAAAACTATGACTCTCCACTTATAAGAGCTTGCATTGAATTTGAACTTGGGTGACAATGATTGAAAATTATGATTCACATTTTAGCGTCTCTGTTCTCTCTTGTGAAGACTCATACAGTATAATAAACACACCCTGCCACCCTGAAAAGGAATGCATTAGCCCCAAGACAATATTGAACCACCACATCCAGCTAAAGGAATCAATAATCACTTTACATCGAGATTTGACCAGAAGCAAAGCAACTGTTTTTCAAATCTAATTTCATTTGAAAAGGTAGTGATAAAATAAAGCAGATTATACAGACATTTAAAGTATGTCTGGAACCTCAGTGCAATTTTGTCTGTAACAGACTAGAATTGCAATAAAGCTTTCTCCTAGTAAATATGTATGCATTCAAGTAACCTAAGGTGTCATTCAAAGCAGCAGATAATTTCGCAGTGCCCCATGAGAAAACTGACAAAGTAAATAGCTTTGTTATCGATGCATATGTTAACTACCAATAAAAAGTAAGATTGAAAATTCGGTTTCACTAAAAATATCTAGCAGTTCATTGAAGTTCTGGCTGGCAGGTCTTGCAAAGAAAGGAGACTGACAAAAAATCCAGTTGGAAAGGAGAACTCGAACAACTTCAAAAGGTAAGTATACCAGTGGTTCCCTATCGCGCTGCAGATGAAGACCTCAGCAGAGTCGCCGTCTTCAGATCCCGAAACCGAATCCCAGTGCTGTCAAGGATTCACCCTGAAAACAGGACGGTCATCGTGCAGTGCAGTCAGCCTCTTGTTGGTATGAGTGGAAAACAAAATAAAGATGATGAGAAATATCTTGACCTCATCAGGGAGACTAATAGACAGATTTCGAAACTCAAAATCTATGATGCAAGACCCAGGGTCAATGTGATGGCCAACAAGGCAACAGGAGGAGGATATGAAAGTGATGACACATATCACAATGCCGAAATGTCCTCCTTAGACATTCATAATATTCATGTCATGCGGGAATCTTTAAAAAAAAAGTGAAAGACGTTGTTTATCCTAATGTAGAAGAATCTCATTGGTTGTCCAGTTTGGAGTCTACTCATTGGTTAGAACATATCAAGCTGGTGCTGACAGGAGTCAAAGTTGCAGACAGAGTTTCTTCAGGGAAGAGCTCTGTGCCCTTGCATTGCAGTGACGGCTGGGACAGGACTGCTCAGCTATCCTCCCTGGCCATGCTGATGTTGGACAATTTCTACAGGAGCACTGAAGGCTTCAAAATCCTGGTACAAAAAGAGTGGATAAGTTTCGGACATAAACTTGCATCCAGAATAGGTCATGGTGATAAAAACCACACCAATGCTGACCGATCTCCTATTTTTCTCCAGTTTATTGATTGTGTATGGCAGATGTCAAAACAGTTCCCTACAGCTTTTGAATTCAATGAACGCTTTTTTATTACAATTTTGGATCATCTGCAGAGCTGCCGATTTGGTACTTTCTTATTCAACTGTGAATCTGCTCGAGAAAGACAGAAAGTCCCAGAAAGAACAGTTTCTTTGTGGTCAATGATCAACAGCAACAAAGAGAAATTCAAAAACCCCTTCTATACAAAAGAAATCAATCGAGTTTTATATCCAGTTGCCAGTGTGCGTCACTTGGAACTCTGGGTGAATTACTACATTAGATGGAACCCCAGAATCAAGCAACAACAGCCAAATCCCGTGGAGCAGCGCTGCATGGAGCTCCTGGCCTCGCGTGACGACTACGTCAAGCGGCTGGAAGAGCAGCAACTCGCCAACTCAGCCAAGCTTTCAGACCCCCCCCATCCTCACCTTCCCAAATGATGCCCCATGTGCAAACTCACTTCTGAGGGGGAACCCTGGCACTTCGATTGAGCTCAGAATAAAGGAAATAATTGTGGGCATCTGTACAAAGTAGAGTAAAATATTTGCCTCCATGTAGATGTTGAACTAACCTTACCTTAAACTCGTGAAGATGTGCCTTCTAGAATACCTATTACAAGAAAACTACATTGTCCCCAGAGCAATCAGAAGAAAGGATCCAATCCCAATGATGAATGTAACTGTATTGCATACCTAGATTGTACCAATAAACTCAATAAAAAGAAAAAAAAACAAACTAGGAATCTACAGTTCCGATTTAAAAAATTTTTAAAAATTTTTTTTAAAAAAGAAGAAAGGATCCAAGAGGAGGTTCTGGAAAATCCTAACACCTTTAGAAAGCAGTTTTTGAGAGATAAAATTTAATTTATCTCTATAGAAATGCTACATATATGATATGTGTTTTCTGGGCTTAATTGCAACAGCATTGTTTTAAATCACAGGGAAAATGTTTGTCCAGGGGGTTTTCCTCATGCTGCTTAGAAGACAGAAGTTGCTTTGGTTTCTCTGAAATGAATCCAAATGTTAAAGGTGGGTATTACTGCCAAAACCAAATCAAGCTAGGCTTCCTTGGCATTCTTCAGAAGCAACATGTAAAATAATTGCCAACTTTCATACCATCCTAAGTGGTGACGTAAAGAAAAACAGCTGTTTCTGCAGGTGAGTTTTTCATTATTTTGAAATTTTGGAATAAAAAAGGTTTTCCCCTAATTTTCAAAAGCATATTTTTATATTAAACTGATGGGACCCAGTTAAATATGATTTGAATTTTCTTCACGTTGCCAGTTCTACTTTCTAGACTCTCTCATGAGCTTGCCCAAAACTCTGAATTGTTTTCAGGTTGTGGCAAACCCCATATATAGCACTGTTTGATACATAGCACTGTGGGAATGTTGGGTTCCTCCTGCTGCTTTGGTGAATGTTTGAGCAAACATGGTTCTCGTCAATGCAGCTGATCTGCCAAGACGTAGGGTTAACCTTGGATGTGGGATATGTGAGCCTCTCTGCTAGAGCATCATTCTCTGACATAAATGCCCTGGATGTACATCTGTAGAGTGTATTTGAAAGTATTTTGTTTATGTAGTTCAGTTTAAATGGTGTTGGGTTTCCCTCCCCCAAAACATGCATAAAAACTGTTTCTACAAATTTTTACTCAAAGTACTGAGCAGTTTGCTCTTTCAGGTTGTTTTGTTTTGTTTTGTAGTATTAAGTGAAATTTTAAATGCACAGTTGTATTGGATATTTGAACTAACTCATTTAGTATATTTGTAAAAGCTAAGTCTAGAGTTAAAACAATGTGTTTTACAATGGTTTGTAAAGGACTATTTATAGCTAACATGCTTTTGTTTTCAATGAATTAAGAGATTAAATATATCTTTGTAAATTATTTTATGTCATAGCTTAATTGGTCTACCAAATAAGACATTTCAAATAAAGCCTTATAATGTATGAATTTTGTAAGTATAAGAAATTTTATTAGACATTCTCTGGCTTTTTGTAAACGCTGTAAGTATTTCATAAATTAACAAAGTGTCACTCCATAAAAAGAAGAAAGCTAAAAAAAAAAAAAAAGAAAGTGTACCAAGTATATTGCTATTCTTATTAGATTTGAGGAACAAGATTTTGTTGTTTTGCAAATGACTTCACAAAATTCAGCTTATGTAAAAACTACAGATGCAATCTCGTCTTCTGGTCCAATTCGCGCTGATCAGATTTGCTTTGCTCCTCAGTTTATTCTGCTGACCAACTACGTGCCCTTGCTCCCAGCTTTCCCATGAAAACCTAAGTCTTCATGATGTCCCTAAACAGTCTGTAGGCCTCCTCTGCCCTCCCCAATCTCCTACCCTGGTTCTCACTCCCCCATTCCTCTTCTTCTCCACCAACTAGATTCCTTGTTGTTCTTAAGATTCATTAGATCCCCCTCCCACACCTGGGCTTCTGCACTTCTTCTTCCCTCTGACCAAAACAGTAACAAGGTCTTAATGTTTCTGTGTGGCTACCCCCCTCACCTCCTGCTCAGATAGCATTTGCCCAGCTAGACACTCTGATGCCTCCTCTTTCTCCAAAATAGCTTATCTCCATTAAGGCAAGCATTTCTGCTGGATTTTGTTCACTATTTTCTTCCTACTGCTAAGAGACTGCTTGGAACATAGTTGGAACAGAGTGGGCTTTCCTCAGATATTCATTGAATAAATGAATGAAGAATGAATGAATGAATGAATGCTACTTGGAAGTTAATTGACTTATTTTAAACCTCAACTGATAATGTATTGTTTGTGTTCACATGGTTTTACATATCAGTGTCAGGATAAAATATAGACTAAGCCTTATCAATCCAATCATAGCAACAATCATCAAAATTTCACTGAACAAAGTTTTTAAAACCTACATTTATTTCATTCGTCAAGATTACTGAGGGGAAACAAGGAATGGAAGGAAGTAGAGATGAAATGAGAATGGCAGAAGTTGGCAGTTGATGAAACCAAGTGGTTGGTACACAAGTGTCAACTTTATTTTTCCATCTGTGTCACACATATTCAAAATGTTTCATCATACAAAGATCTGTTAAAAACCTACCTTCGAGTTATTTCCAAATTAAACTGCAAAATAAGGAAAAAAGATGCTTTTCAATTGTCATAGTAGCCTGTAGACTCTGACAAGTTCCTTTGCATTCACATTTTAAAGTTTGCTCAAATCCACAGGCAGTAGGAGTTAGAACCACTCCAGCTAAACTTGAGTGGCTTTCCAACTTTGGTCAAGGTCATGAAGCCACAGAGGAATGAGGCAGAACTGCACCATGTTTGGAAGGGAGGATTGTGGCTCACCAACTTGGGAAGCCCTGAAGGTGTGCCACTCCCATAAGGGTGAAGGCAGGTAAGGGTGCTTTATATGCACTGTCCCTGCCTCCTCTCACTGCCAAAAAGGGGGACAATAGGCCTGATTACAGAGCCAGCTGTGGCAAGCCAATCCCCCATCTTCCTCATTCATCTCCGAAATACAGCCAATTTACATCTCCAGGAATAGCTAAAATCCTTTTTCAGATAATGATGGATTTTTGTGTTTAAAAAAAAAAAAAAAAACTTTGAAATGCTAAAACAGTCCTGAAACAAATAAAAGTCAGGGCTTGGTTTTATATATCTTTTTCTAGGTTCTATAATCTTCAAAATTCAAAAGACACATGATTTTACACAAGAAATTTTGTCTGTCTGGCAGGATGGTGATCATTCAACCTTGTCGATGTGCTTTTTAATTTATTCAGAACATGGAATGTGTTTTAGGGGCTGAGAGAAGTTCTAGACTCACAGTTGCAGAAAGATACATCTTCTGAAACAACCTGGAAGTTTGTAGTACAGCTTTCAGCTCTTTAAATATGATCAATTGAATTTGGTAAACCATAATGATTGTACTCTAACCTCTGATCCATTTGCCTGCCATAATTTACAAAATTTATTGAGATCTTAACTTCAGTAAAGCAGAAATATCATCTTAAGGCTCATTAAAGCTCCTGAGTACTGTACTTAGCCAATTATCACATAGTGATTGATAGGAAGTTTACAAAAATAGACTATTTAAATAGAGATTTAAATGATGGTAACTAATAACAGGATGATGAAATTGATTGTATCTGATGCCGAACTTACTCATGTATTATAAATAATTGTAGAAAAATAATTTTTAATTGTCTATTAGTACAATTTTGCAGCATTTTATTATTACTTTCATCATGGGGACTTAGTACATATACATAACACATCTTAATTCCTTTTACTTCATCTCCCCTCCCTCGCTCCTCCCTCTATCCCTTGCAAAATGTCTATCTTCCTGACACTTATTGTCTATCCTTAATTTTACTCTTTAAATTATTTATACTTTGGGTTTCTTGTAGAAGAGAAACAATGCAATATTTTACCTCATGTATCTGATTTATTTCACTTCACACTGTGGTCTCAGTGTGCATCTATTTTGTACATGTAGCTCAAGTTTATCTTTCTTTATGGCAGAGTAGTAGTCCATTGTGTATAAAAATTACATTTTCTTTATGGATACATCTATTGATGGACATGTAGGTGTCTCCCAAAAATTTGGCTACTGTGCATTGTGCTGCTATAAACATGGGTATGCTGTTTATTGTAAAATGATGTCTTTAACTCTTTGGAGAAGATAATTAGAAGGAGATTAACTGGATCAAGCGGAATTTCTATTTTTAGTTTTTTGAGGAATCTCCATAGTGGGTTTTGTAGTAATTCTACTAGTTTACATTCTCACCAACAATATAGAAGAGTTCCTTTTTCCCAGCAGCCTCTCCAGCATTTGTTATTATTTGCTTAATGACTGCGATTCCTTCTGGAGCAAAGTAGAATCTCAGTGTCCTTTTAATTTGCATTTCTCTTATTGCCAGAGATATTGAACATTTTTCATGTATTTACTGCTCATTTGTACTTCTCATGAGAATCATCTATTCATTTCAATTTCCCATTTTTTTCTCTCATTGAGTTTATTGGTACATTTTAAGTATATAGTACAGTTACATTCATCATTGGGATCTTGTACCTCTACAAGACAGCTCTTGGTTCTCATTTTCTCCCTTTATCCCTGCCCTCCCTTCACCCCCTCCTCCTCTCCCCATTTACAAACACTTTATTTCCATTTTTTCCTTTTCTCATGTCTTTTTCTTTTTCCTTATTACCTTTCCCCCACCCTTCCCACTTTCCCTACACCTTTAGCCCTTTTCTTCTTATTTCACATTTTCAATTATATCATTAGGATCTTATGTACTATTACAGTTTTTCACACCAGAGAAGCTATTCATTATTGGGTCTAATTTTAGGAGGTCTGATTTTTTGAGTTCTTTATATATCTTAGATATTATCCCTCTCTCTGAAGTGTATCTGGCAAAAAATTTTCCCTTGTGTATTGTGTTTCTTCACTGTATTTGTTGCCTCCTTTGTCATATAGAAGAAGCTTTTTA